TCTGTAATATCTTTTTGTTTCTAAAGATTTTTTCTGAAATTTTAGGTAATTGTCACCCACAAAGTTGTCTCTCAATACAGTGCAGAAAACTCCGTTTGTACCATTTATAAAAAAATTATATCTGATTTTCTTTTGGGGTCCGCGCGGACCCCAGCCGGCTTTCGATCATAATGGATACACTGGTCGTTCTTATACATTACCTTATTTCCGTTTTTATATGTTTTTATGCACTCATCGTATGTCTACCAAGTTTTCAGAGAATGGTGTAGTAATAGAATTAAATTTTAATAACTTTGGTGTAATTATGACGTCATATGACGTCAGAGCTAATAATATAGTCCGCCATATTGGATTTTGACCAATGACGTCATCAAATTAGCATATTCTATGCATATTAAATGATTTAACTTATATTTAATTATGTAAGATGTTATTAATGTTGGAAAAGAAGTGTAATTTAATATAAAACTCAGAAAATTTTTTATGTTTAAACCAAAATTACTTCTATTTTCAAAAAAAACTACCCGTTGCCATAGCAACACAAAAAACATCAACTTACTAGTATAAAACTAATATGAACTTTTTTCCAGAGACATTTTAGGACAGGTCTCCAAATTTGATACTTCTAGCGCAAGCCGTTTAGCCGCTATCTGAGATCAAAGTTGGGCCTCAAAAGCCCCTTCAGTCTGAAATGGGTTTAAAAATCGGGTTTTTCTTCTTGTCTTCTTTTCTTCACCAAAAAATAGAAAAATTTCTAAATGTATGATTTTTGTATGTAATGTGGACTCAGAGGTTTCCACATCAGTTTGCAAAACAATTGAGCTCGTAGCATGTTGATAATTTCTAAAAATTAGCAAAAACTGTTCTGGGGTCCGCGCGGACCCCAGGTGTACAGATTTATCAGTCCGGGAAGGTGTTCTGTTGAGGGTTAAATGCATATTATGCAAATGAGAACTTAATTTGCATAATTAATGAGGGAATTCTTTAATTACAGTGTTTATATAATGGTGCTTTTATACATGAAATATACTTAATTTGTGGCAGGCGAAACATCAAAAGATTTTGCAAATGACCTAATTTGCATAATTAATGTGGAAATTCTGTGAGTCCTTATTAATAAAATATGGTAATTATATACCTTGTGACACGTGTAAGTTACTTAAATGTTAACACCACTAGGCATATATTATGTTAATGTAGATTCTATTTGCATAATTAATGAGTTCATGTTGAAATGAAGTATGACAAGGTAGAGGAATTTTACACGAAGAATATTGTCGTTTGAATTTAGAATATATTGTAATTTAAATTAAACTAGATATTGATTATTGGGACCTTATCTCCATAGTCAATGTGACAAATAAAAAACATTTACAAAAACTCATATATTTCATGAAGGTTTGAGATCTCCGAATTCTTGTTGATTGAAGCTTGTAAGTATTCAATTGTCATAAAAGCCAAGTAAGTTGAATATTTGGTAAAATTTCAGTTTCAGTTTCTAAATAAACTACTTAATTTTGTTCGGAACTAGGAGAGGATGAATCTCAATATCATATAATCCTATATATCCTGAATGCATGAGTTGTTTTAATATGCACGATTGTCTTCTTCTATAATAGAACTTCTCTTAAATTGTGAGAGCAAATCGAACAACATATGATAATTCCTGCACTGTAAATAAACAACATAAGGAACTGTCCAGGCATTTCACAAAAAAAGTATTCTATATCAATAATTGTTGTATACTACGATAGTCTTTTGTAGAGCATATTGCTTTCCCAGAGGCGATGTACAAGTTGCTACATCGTATACAAGTGGTAACAGTCAAATTATTACTATCATCATCATTATGATATTCACCCTCTGACAGCCCTGTCTGTAGCGGAAGAGGTAGAAGGGACTGCGGTTAGGTAGAGAGATGGGAGTGTTGGCGCTCCCGTCGTTACGGCAGCAGTATCTGATCAGGGTGTTACTGCCGTAACTCCCGTCAGGAACTACGCCACTGCGGCTGTTTTTGTTGTCGTCATCTTCATCGTCCCAGTAGATCTCACCTGATTGGAAACCTAAAAGAAACAGAACATTATGAATCGCTAGGTTTGTTGCACATCAGGCCTGAATTAGATTACTATTGAATTCTCTACATTGTTAGGTCTTGACATGCCAAAAAAGTACCATTTCCTTATTACTGCAGCAAAACAGTTTTGCGTTATGCTCATTTAATGTCGTGTTCTGGACATAATATACTCACGATTTTGAGTGGTTGTACTTTGTGATCAAGATCAGAAATGGTGTTTCTGGAGGTTAGATACCTTGACCTTATATCTCCGGACTTTTATTAGTATATTTTATATGTAATTTGTTATGTATAGTTGATGGTGCTAGAATTTTATGTGTTAGAGACGATGCATGTGAACAACAACAAATGGTGCGCGCCAAAACAAAAAAATAATCAAGACCGGACAGCCCTCTTTGCGAGGGGTCATATACGTGGACCAGACCGAGAATATCTTAAACACGCCAAAGGTCAACGGTCGCCACCATTTCTCACGCTCAAAAGGGGTGTTTGGGGGCTACCAAAAGACGCCATTTTCACGTCCGAAAACATTTATATACAATAAAAACGAAAGATTGAGCACCATATACGGCCCAATAGCAAAACATACACCGAGTCCCAAAAAAATCCGTACACCCTAACGCGAGAAACAGCTGCGAACATGAAAATCTAAATCTCTCACAAAACCCTTCCGCGGAAGGATGTCTCCTCCCCGGGAGGTAACAATATTCTAGTCGGATGACTAGAATATAACTGACTTTGTTTATCCCACATGGCAATCGGAAATGGCAGACTACTGCCAATTGATATATCCTAGGTGCCGTCATTATAAGAAAAAAAATTGTGTGTGTTTTGACAGTTCCTACCTCCCGGACAACCGCTCTTCTTAAAGACACAGTAACTACCGCGTGGCCAGTTCCCATCTCCGTCTCCTGGGGTAGTCTGCAGAGAAAAGAAAATGCACATTACAAAATTATTTTTTAAATCGGTTTTAAAAGACTAAACTGTTTTAAAAAACAAGAAAAGAGGTTACATAATTTATCAATACTTTTAAAAAATGTTGTAATCAGCACCTACCTTCATGCAGAATTTTTGTTTCATATTGTTTTTCCAAAAGTCACCGTCAAAATGCAGACCGTTTGTCCATTGGTTGTCAGCGGTGGAGTCCTCGGTGTCGTGATGACGGACACCCGTGCGCCAGCTAACGCCTGCAGCTACAGGACAACCTGTATTTGTCCGGGGTAGACCGTAGGTACCAGTCGGCCACTCTGTGTGAGAAAATTAAAGAATTTATAAACTGCACGAAAATGCATGTAAAAGACGTCTAGAGGCGTCGTGTAGTCACCATTTATTTGCACATATATGCATTATTTACGCATTATTTACATATATTTTTTGGCGCTTCGCATAAAGGGGTGTCCTTTTCGATAAATTCTTTGTTTAAAAATATGCGCCAAAACGCTGTTTTCCAGGACTGCATAGCCAGATTTAGTGAAAATATGCACAATTAAAAAACCTTTGGTGAAAATATATATTTTTTTGCGGAATTATGGTGTCTATTGAGCTCGATCGAAACCCGGAAGTTTTGATACGGGGGCATGGTATCTAGTAAAGGTAGCGAGACACAGGTATGCAAGTGAGTATTATGCAAACATTTGCATTCGTGCATATATCACTACGACTTCTTGTAAACTTGTATATTTGACGTACTATAAGCAGCATGTATGTAACATTTTGGACCCCAGTCACACAATTCCGTTAATGTCATCTTTGGTAACTCAAATTCAGAAGCCCTGTTATAGGTAATCTTGTAAGTAATTTTACAGGTGAAGTAGAAAGGCCGCAACATCTGTTATGTAGTAGTATGTCTATCTGAATTGTAACTGACACTGTTAACTGTTACATGTTCCGAATTGTTTATGTTCTTGTTGTGAGGACTAGCCCTTTATAATAGCCTCCGGCTAGTTGGGCAGTCCTGGCTGCATACATATGTGTTATCAGCCTAATAAATCAAATCAAATCAAATCAAATCAAGTAGAAAGGCCATCCATGTTACTTTTCAATCTTTTCTCAATTATGCGAACTTCTTTCATTAAGTAGAAGATTCTATATCAACAAGAATGGGAAATCAGCAGAAGCATCGTGGCAAATGGGGTACTTTATGTTCTAGATTCTTTTTCATTATCAGTATTATGATTTGAATTATTGTATAATGGGTGATTCTGTTTCAATATCAGCATTTATAATTTGGATTATATTATAATAGATGATCTAGTGTACGCACTTTCTTTTGATTTATGAATAAAAAGGGCTCCGTGTATTTTGCGCTCAATTTAACCATCATGAGCTTTAATGTCAAAATGTAATTCGAATACCACAATATTAGAGCTTTACAGTCAAAATTTAATTAAAAAAGCACAGCTTCCGTCATTCAAATAGCACAACTGCAATAGCTTCACAGGCTCGCATTTCTCATATTTAGAGCGTTATGGAACGCAGAAGCGACGGGTTTTTTTTTTTTTCTTTGTAGCAGCTGCTTTGTAGCCATGCGTGAGAAAATTTCCATGACAAAAGGTATGCCCTAATGTTCCTTTACCAGCTTTTAACTTTTAACACATGGACCTGTGCAATTTGGAAGGGAGTTGTTGAACTGTCAACCAATGATGAAAAACCAGGTGATAACCTGCTCAAGATTACCCATAATAATGCTTTGATGGCTTTTTTTTTCTTGTAATTTCATGCTATTTGATATTCAAACACTACGGTTTTCCTAATTCTAGAAATCACGAAAAAAAATCAAAGATATTTGATTTTCCTTGGTGATTAACTTTCGCCATCAAATCATTATTAAGGGTAATTTTAAGCAGGTTATTACCCGGCTTTTCATCACTGGTTCAACAGTTTCATATCAAAATGCACAGGTGCATGTGTTAAAAGCTGGTAATGGAACTCTCGGCTTTTTAAACATAGCAAAAACTCATCCGTATAGCCTATTTGGTTTTGTGATGAAGATGTATGAAATGGCATCAGGTTTATTTGTTATTGTAGTTAATATTAGTTTTCTTCTTTTATTGCTGTATTATGATAAGAAGGAACTTACTTCTGCAAACAGACTGGCCGGTAGGGCCTGTTGGTTTTACCGATGAACAGGACGGACAAGTGGTGGACCCTGCTCTGCTACTGTATTTCCCAGCAGGACAGGACGTGCAACCACTTGACCCTGCTCTGTTGCTGTATTGCCCGGCAGGACAGGACGTACAATAACTTGACCCCGCCCTGTTACTGTATTTTCCGGGAGGACAGTCGGAACATCTGGTTGACTTCGCTACGTTACTGTATTTTCCGGCAGGGCAGTTCAAGCAGCGCGATGATGCCGTTGAACTGTATTTGCCGGCAGGACATGTCTTACAGCCTGTTGCCCTTATTGCATCGTTGTATTGCCCGGCAGGACAGGAATGACAAGTCGTTGAGCCTGCTGTATTGCTGTACCGCCCGGCCGGACAGGGCGTACAGCCGCTTGACCCTGCTCTGCTACTGTATTGCCCGGCAAGACAGGACGTACAACCGCTTGACCCCGCTCTGCTACTGTACTGTCCGGCAGGACAAATCTTACAACCCGTGGATCCTACTGTTTTGCCGTACTTTCCCACTGGACAGTCTAAACAGCTTGTGGACCCCCCGCCAGTGCTGTACTTCCCGGCTGGACACTTCTGACAGGACACCGCTCCCGGAGCGCTGCTGAACTCCCCAGCTGCACACGGCACGCACATTGTCCTGTTGTCGTTACTGGTCGTTCCCGCTGGACAGATGTCTTCCTGCTCCGTCCCCCAGCTTACACTCATGGCCGGACTGACATTGGCGGCAGGTGAAGGCATTGTTATCTGCTAGTAAAAAAATGTACCACTTACTCAAACAAAATTCGGAGATCTGGAATATATTACACACATTAGATGCTTTGCAATTTTCAGTCATTCCCTATTGAATTATGCATATTTAGTCTTCATTCGCATAAGTTGCCTTTACTTGTGTTTCTCTATGAGCTACCTACATACCGAAAATGATTAAAAAGACCTTGCTTTTTTCTAATCCCCTTTGAAAGATATCTCTCCAACACTTCCCTGCAGTTACAGAACAAGACGCTAGCGGGACAACACCCACACTACTTTTTCCTGACAGAAAAAGCTATGTCACCAAAAAATCCACGACCATATAGCATAGCATGTTCAGGACAAAGGGATACAAAACCGGAAGTTTTGCTGCAGTATTTGACCATATTTGACTGTTACCCTTGTCTTTCTACTACCTATAAACAAAACAACTGATACACAAACTGAATGATAAACAGTTGCGCTGACTGACAGATAACTCATAAAGTTTTATCTTGAAAGTTCATCTGTGTTGGTAGAGCCCAGGCTTGACAATATGACCATAGCATATGGCAAAATCGTTTACCCCCCCCCCGAAAAAATGACTTTATATGTATAAACATGACAAACCCTTCACAGCTTTCTGTCCAGGTCTGCATCCATCCACACAGCGCCCGTCATGTTGATACTTGCACGTGTCACAGTCTGTTGAAGCAGGCCCGGAGCAAAACCTTTTCCCTTCATTACTGACATCTTTACAAAAGCTGCTGCATTCTACATAGAAATATGCTTTCGCTGAATCTCTCTCTCTCTCTCTCTCTCTCTCTCTCTACTCTATATATATATATATATATATATATATATATATATATATATATATGGATAGATAGATAGATAGATAGATAGATAGATAGATAGATAGATAGATAGATAGATAGATAGATAGATAGATAGATAGATATAGATATATATCTTTGAATGTATATATATTCAATAGGTAAAAAATAGTGACTTGGAATATGCTATCACTGAACGAGCCTTAGGTTTACAAACATATTAAAACAAAGTTGCTGAAGGTCAATTCTTTAAGTAGACAAGAGAATCCACAAAAATATCACTAAGAATGTACTAGAATTAATTTACAATTCAGTGGAAATTAATTGACATTTACACTCTGCAGTGCTTATTTAGTATTTGTTGCGTATATGTACAACATCAAAATATATTACAACATACTTTTGCAAACGTTGTTATCATCAAAGTGTGTCAGAGGGCACTCCGTCACACAGTCAACAACACCACCAGGACGGGTTTCTTCCATCCTCTTAATGCCTGAAAACAAACATTAACAAAAGCACCTTTTTTCAGTATATATAATCTTCAGGAAACTCTACTCGCAGCTCACACGACGGGAACGTCATATTGATTTTTAGGACATAAATGTAATTTTAAAGGAAAAACAATAATATCTAGTTTTGCGAGAGTTCAAAGCAACTATGAATCTAGTGCCTATAACATTTATATCCTTATTTACCTTCAATATGAAACAGCAAAAGACTAATTATTGCCTCCAAATTTAAACATATGAAATCTCTATTAAAATTATATGTACGCATTACTTACATGAACATGTTTTTGTAGCAGTGTCAGATTCCATGTGCTGCGGACACTGCGCGACGCATTCGAAATCACCAGTCTGTCCCTCTCTGTAGGGGTAGGACACCTTCAGATGTTTACAGGCGATGCAGTCAGTTGGAGAGTTGGATCCACTTGTGCGGCATCCTGTGTAAGAAAAAAATGAAATGCATTATTTTTTCTTTTGCTGCAAAATGATTCTAAAGTGGCCATGTATTTATTATATTTTTATCCACAGCAGAAAACTGCACCGACACAAAATATATGGCTCAACAACAAAAATGAAATAGATTGAAGGTTAATCCAATAGTTTTCGGAATTTAAGACATACCAAAATAAATAAAGCAAAAAAAAATGTACAATTTGATACTTTATTGTTTACTGCATGATTAATTTACACAAGATACTATGTCTGTATAATTGCGTTTAACTTGACACTGTGTTCACCGTTTTAATAATCTCCAAGGCTAGTGTAGGTGCAGCACCACGGCCCTCCCTATCTTACTGTTTCCGTAGTCCCGCTCCATCCAGGGATAGGAAAAAGCGAATTTACAGGACTTCTTTGGTAATTATGTTTTAATCGCAAGAGGGTTAGTTGGAGTACAGAGCCGCCACAAAACGTTGCATATAATACTCAACCGAATGTCCTGCTGAATGTCCTTCTGAATGTTCGATGTGAAAGTCACTTATACGTCCTGAATTGTGCCCAAAGTAGATGTCCAAGGTAGATGTCCAATGTAGTGCTGGTAGTACAGGTAGTGCCCAGGGTATTGCCAAAAAAGTTACAATTTCCAGTAAGTACTGACCAGGGTAGTGCCAAAGTAGTGCCAATGTCCAGTAGGCAGTGCCCAGGGTAGTGCCAAATTAGTGCCAATGTCCAGTAGGCAGTGCCCAGGGTAGTGCCAAATTAGTGCCAATGTCCAGTAGGCAGTGCCCAGGGTAGTGCCAAATTAGTGTCAATGTCCAGTAGGCAGTGCCCAGGGTAGTGCCAAAGTAGTGCTATTGTCCAGTAAGTAGTGCTCATGGTAGAGCCAAAGTAGTGCCAATGTTCAGTAGGTAGTGCTCATGGTAGTGCCAAAGTAGTGCTAATGTCCAGTAATTAGTGCTCATGGTAGTGCCAAAGTAGTGCCAATGTCCATAAGTAGTGACCAGGGCAGTGCCAAAGTAGTGCCAATGCCCAGGGCAGTGCCAAAGTAGTGCCAATGCCCAGTAAGTAGTGCTCATGGTAGTGCCAAAGTAGTGCCAATGTCCAGTAGGTAGTGCTAAGGGCAGTGCCAAAGTAGTGCCAATGTCCAGTAGGTAGTGCTCAGGGTAGTGCCAAAGTAGTGCCAATGTCCAGTAGGTAGTGCTCATGGTAGTGCCAAAGTAGTGTCAATGTCCAGTAGGTAGTGATCAGGGTAGTGCCAAAGTAGTGCCAATGTCCAGTAAGTAGTGCTCATGGTAGTTCCAAAGTAGTGCAAATGTCCAGTAATTAGTGCTCATGGTAGTGCCAAAGTAGTGCCAATGTCCAGTAAGAAGTGCTAATGGTAGTGCCAAAGAAGTGACAATGTCTAGTAGGTAGTGCCCAGGGTAGTGCCAAAGTAGTGCCAATGTCCAGTAAGAAGTGCCCAGGGTAGTGCCAAAGTAGTGCTAATATCCAGTAGGTAGTGCTCATGGTAGTGCCAAAGTAGTGCCAATGTCCAGTAAGAAGTGCTAATGGTAGTGCCAAAGTAGTGACAATGTCTAGTAGGTAGTGCCCAGGGTAGTGCCAAAGTAGTGCCAATGTCCAGTAAGCAGTGTCCAGGGTAGTGCCAAAGTAGTGCTAATATCCAGTAGGTAGTGCTCATGGTAGTGCCAAAGTAGTGCCAATGTCCAGTAAGAAGTGCTAATGGTAGTGCCAAAGTAGTGACAATGTCTAGTAGGTAGTGCTCATTGGTAGTGCCAAAGTAGTGCCAATGTCCAGTAAGAAGTGCTCATGGTAGTGCCAAAGTAGTGCTAATGTCCAGTAAGTAGTGCTCATGGTAGTGCCAAAGTAGTGCCAATGTCCAGTAGGTAGTGCTCAGGGTAGTGCCAAAGTAGTGCCAATGTCCAGTAGGTAGTGCCCAGGGTAGTGACAAAGTAGTGCCAATGCCCAGTAGGCAATGCCCAAGGTAGTGCCAAAGTAGTGCTAATATCCAGTAGTAGTGCTCATGGTAGTGCCAAAGTAGTGCCAATGTCCAGTAGGTACTGCCCAGGGTAGTGCCAATGTACAGTACGTAGTGCTCGGGGTAGTACTTAAGTAGTGCCGTAAAAGCTGGTATTGCTCCTATCTCCTTCTGGCCTGAAACTTTCTCCCGGTAATACTGATTTTTTCTTCCTTTGAGAAGCCTGTTTCTTCTCCCGTGGAGAATTCTTTTTCTTTTACCGTTGACAATCCTGTTTTTTTTTGTCCTGCCATAAAGTACATACATGTATTTGCCTTTTTTCTTTCCTTCTTGGAAGCATGTTTTCTTCCTGTCTTTTGAAGTCTGTTTGCCTTATGTACCGTGGGTTCCTTCTTTGCCTTATACTTTTGTCATAGCCTTGTCTTCTCCATCTTGAGCCTATTGTCTTGACGGGCTTTCCTCTCTGGTGTTCAGGAGGGTAGGGAATTTGGCGGGAACTAGGCTGCCACATTATAATAGCTAATCTAAAGACGGCAAATACAAATAGGGAAGTTGGCGCTTGCAGCTAGTATAAGCAATCATTAAGATTTAATAGCTGACTAGGTAGCGCAAGAAAAACAAGTAAGCAAGGTTAAATCAAAAATCAAAGACGAACGTACCGTTGCACTCGGAGTGACATTTTTGTTGACAGACCCCGTTGATCAACTCCGTCCCTTCCCGGCAGATGATGAAGTCCTTTGCCGGCTTGTCCAGCAGTGACAGTCCCATCACTTTGACAGGAGACTCTCCACTACCGAAGGAATAGTAGCGAAGGGACGCCACCTCGTTGAATGTAAAACTCAACCAGACGTGGGGACGTTCCTATCATAATTTTTAGTAACAATGTTAATTCTTAACATTCGATATAACTATAGTATGAAGTGACAGTTGGATAGCTATCCCATACACTATTGCTTGGGATTTTTAATTGCATAATGAATACTGTTGATTTTCAAGACAAAAGAAGCGTTTCAATGTTGGAGCAGGACCGTTTTACATACCTACCCCAAAACTTGAATAAAGTTCACCCAGAGTTAAACCAATCAGATCCGAACAGCCAATCAGCAGGGAGAATGGGGTAAAGCTGCATGATCATTGGTTGCCTGCTCTACATGCCATTCTGATGACTCATGTCCAAATATGGTAACACACTGCTATAGTGCATTTTCTATAACACAGTCAAAAAGCTCAAATAAAACCACTCTAGAATTCCTTGGGGTATTTGCCTACTCTACCTTCATGCCAAATCCCATGTTATTTGGCCCCAAAATGAATGAGTTGAATCAATTAATTTACTATATTCTTATATAATAGATAAGTTCCCCAACTTTGGACATTTAAATGAATCAGAAAAATTCATGTTTCTTATGAAACTTGACAAATCATGTATCACTAGTTCTATATGCTCGTATATCTATAACTGCGCCAAGAAGCGAGAAGAAGTCGAACAATGTAAATAGTAGATCACATTAGTATGTATAGTTTAAGTATTATTGCTGTATGCTTTTCCTTGTCTATTCATGACCTGTACTTAGCTTGTTAGAGCACAAACGTACAATAAAGGTCTTTCATTCATTCACTTATTACAAGAATTAGCAGGAGAAGAAGAAGGAGAAGAAACGTGAGCAAAAACAATATGACTTTACCACTAGGTGGTGAAGTCATAATGATATTTTGTCCAAAAAACTATGCCTTTCTGTCAAAGTACGAATGCCTAATTTACTGAACTTTATATACACACCTCGTTGTCAGGCGTCTTGCCGTATTGAACTATTGTTGTCTTATCGTCCACATCTTCAGTCACACAGACAAAGTACGACTGGTACAGGGTTGCCGAACCCAGACCGCCGGCATTGTCATTCAGCTGGGTGGTTTGTAGCCGAAGTGCCTTCAGGTGTGTATGAAACTTGCTGTTAGTCCCATTACACATTGTCGTGCGCAGCGATAACTTTAGTTATACTTAAGTTCACAGTATCTTTACCGAGTGTATCGGAAATTACATTCCTGATAAAAGTTCAGGAATGTGTAAGCACCAGATACAATATTGTAAATAGTTCTCGGAATAGCTCCATGCTAATATTTTAAAGTACTGACATCTCCCTTACTTTCAGACCCATGGAATGCTCAGACTGATGCGCATATCTCAGCTTTTATAACATTAGGAAAAATCCTTGACCTTCGAACAAAACTACATGTTAGTGAATGCTACTCAAGAAGAGGAATATATAGAAAGAAAAGCAAAATTCAACTCCAATCCTAATTGGCGTAAAACACGTTGTGTATGTTAGGAAACATTGCCGGGATTAGGTACCTCACGTGACAATATAGCTAATATATAAGCGTGTCGACCTTATACAGTGCCACTCCCTCAGATGTGATCTGTACATATATCCAGGTCTCGTGGTTTTTGCGGGATGCTGGCAAACACAACAAAGATGTCGCCTCCTGATGCTGCAGTGAAGTGGATGCACTTTCCTCCATCGGTCGGATCAAAGCGATGTGCGTTGGTCCATTGGATGCTACACGGTACGTCTCCGACTGTGTCACTGCAGAACAATAACCAACAATTCTACATTCGTTATAAGTTTCACAACATTTTATTTATATCACTTAGAATATAGCATTTCTGATTCAATGTGTATTTAACAATAAATTGTGAGACAACTGAATCCCATATTGATGGTAATCAGTATTGGTTTTACTTACCTTTTCTGGCTTAAGTGGTTGAGTAGTTTTTTGTACTCAGCTCTGGCGACGTCACGACCTTTTATCCAGCCTGGTAAGTCTGTCAGTAGTGTAGCTGAGGCTGTGAAGTCGTCATCCGTCACCGTGAAGACACCTGTTCCCTCATCATATGTCATGACAAGCCCCTGAACGCTGACCTGCAGAATCGTCGTCATGTAGAATTGCATTTGTAAAACTGTCATGAAAGTTCATCTGTGTTGGTAGTAATCATAGTAACAAGTTGGACTTTGTTTCAATACAAAGATTACATAGAGGTCAAATTTTTGACGACCACTGTGACCTTGATCAGGATAATAAATGACCAATCACTTTAAAACATAATGTCGCGAGAATGGCGATATACAGACACGTGACATTAATCACACGAGACTTTACGGATACGTGACGTAAGCAATAGCTCAAAAATACCAGGCAGTTTATATCGTCCACCGTCTCCGTGATGGCTGTAGTGCCCTGATGAAGGCGACAGTGGATCCCTGTGTAATCTTTGTATTGACACAAACTTCAACATTTTACTAAAACTGTTATATTTTTTACATGTTTAAAACTGTTATAAGAAGGTTGAGAATTGTTAAAAAGAATGTTTAGGTGACAAACTGAATACACAATGCATGTTCTGTATGTTCTGATTTGTTTACCTTTTTCGCCTGGACGTCGTTGCTTCCTCCGTTTTTGTAGCCATCATACAGATGTGGTACAAATCCTTTTCGTGTAGAGAACCACTTGTGACGATAGAACTTAAGTGTCAGCACGTCTTGAGCCTGAAGAATCCCCGGGATGTCGTACGGCATGTCAAACACGACCATGAACTCCTTTCCTCCGGTCATGTCTTCCCATGTGGGCACGCCGGTGTTGTCTTCCTGAAGGAACGCCAACATGGCGGTTTCACAGCCTGCCTCTCCGGCGGGCAGGAGGAAGTCTGAACTCAGGATACGACCCTACAGGTAAAACATGCTTATTTAGTAATTAATATCTTAGACCATCACTGGCCTAAAATTTCAAAGCCAATTATGATATAGCATCTTTCTTTATTCGATATTATGTGTATGATTAAATGTCTAATAAAATATTTAATAAGAATAGAAAATGAGTCTAAGATTATTTGCAAAAATGCAGAATGTTAATTATCACAAGTATCCTCCTTACCTCTTCCAGATACACTGTAACAGCACGTTGAAGCGCCAGTCTCCTCTTGGTCATGCTGTCCTCGAGGGCTTTACGGTTTTCAAAATTACAATAACGGATCTCGGTAACCGTTACCGGTTCACTTTTATTTATAGATCCCTTGTTGCCAACATCCGGTTTTGCTGTGTTTTGCGTGTAATACTTTCGGCCAGTTCCCACTTCCGTCTTAAGATCCCTGAGATGATAATCAATTATTAGTCGGTTTCTTACTACAGATAAAGTTAAAGCGTAAACTACGTATATTATAAATCAAATAGTTAAAATTCCATTGATTTAAGTACATTATTTGACTGTGTGCAAGAACTATCTACTTCGTGATCTAAAAACAATACTAAATGTACTGTCTACTTCTCTATATAAATTAGATATCTAGTATAAACCATCTTGTCTAATGTGGTGACCTGTATATTTAGACTATTTTCTTTGATTACTTCTATATTTACTATAGGCAGGTTTAGTTGAAAAGTACTATGTACATAATTGTAAAGTCTTACCTCCTACCAAAGCAACCATAGTCCACATCTCCTGCAGGGAAGAGCGAGACGAAGGGGATGTTCAGTAGATCTGAGACCAGCCTTAACACGAAGGAGAAGGGTTTGGAGTAGTCGTTAATGGACTCTAACCAGTCCTTCAGCTCTGTTGTTAGGGCTGTCGTGTACATCTCCGTGATGGCAGCGGCGATCTTCTGGTCTCCACCTTGAACCACCAGAACCTCGTTACTGTACTGCTGGGATGATCTGAATGGAAGAGATAAAATATTGAGCTCAATCTGTGATTTTGTCAAGTGAAATTAAAATGTTAACATAACTAAATACCAGTTCTATAATGAAACAAAAGATTGCATTTTAGCAATGTATACGTGTTGTCAATAAATAAAGAGTCATATGCGCAAGTAAATGCGACTGAACATTAAAAACAAAGCAAGATCGTTCGAAAAAATGGTAATTACGTTGACATTGTAAAATTATGCAATTTGCAGGGCGTATTTGCAACTGATAATAATAAAGTTTTATCCGTGCCTATATTTAACTCTTAATTAAATAAACAAACTTACGCTTGCTTCTCTTCTTGCCTGTTGGCCTGTGATTCAGAACCAGACGCTGCTTTTCCAGAAAACTCTTGTGATTCAATCTTCGACTCGTGCTCGGGAAACCAGCTACTTGACTTGGTCTGTGACGCCTTGGCTGCGAATGTGCTGAGGGTCATCTTCCAGTCGGCCTCAGCTCTAGTGGCGAATTCTGACATCGACAGGTCCTGTGTAGCTTGTTTTGTTTTGATGATCTTCAGCTGGCCTCCAAATTTGGCTGACTTGATGTAGTGTGTTCCCCAGCGGAGGTAGAAATTTTCTGAAATGGAAGCAATATCACTGTTCTTGCTACAGACAACAATTTTTCAGTCATCGTCATTGTAACAAACTTCCAGTGACTATATTGATTACACGTATACTTCGATATTGGTATGTATTTTATTTGGTCATTTGGACTTGAATGTATTTGCCTTAGTTTATGAACTAAATGGATTCCATGTACCCAAACTAAATATTTTTTCTACTTACGGAAGATAATTTCTGCCCCGGGAGAGAAGTAGGACTCAGGCAGGGAAATAAAGTCTCGTAAGAAGCCCACGTTTAACTGTTCAGGCGTCACGTCGTCCATGAAGATCTCATATCTAGGTATCACGAAACACAAGATACTAGCAGGTCATTCACTTTTCAAAGCTAAATAGCCTAATGATCCCTCATTACCTTCGCCAGGAAGGTTATGTTTTCTAGGGCGTTCGTGTATCTTTGTGTGTGTGTGTGTGTGTGTGTGTGTGTAAACACGACAACTCATGAATGCTTTGATGGGTTGTCTCGATGTTTGGTAGGTAGCTAGGTCTTGCTAAGACCTAAAAATTTACTCGATTTTGGGCCCCCTGGCGGCCTGTCATGGTACTGCAGCATAACTTCTGGTTTTGACATCTTGTGATCTAGACATGCTGGGGTCACGATTTACATGATAGAGAGCTCTTGTACTTGGAATGAAGTGACATGCGTTTGAGCCCCATAGCTGCTCGCTCTGGAACTGCAGGGGGTTTGTTGAAAAATCTTTAAAGGCGGATAACTCAAAAACCGATTGATAGATCGTCGTGGTTTTTGGTATGTAGATAGATTAGGTGGTGCTTGACATAATAATCTTACAATTATGCTATTATGGCTGTGATTTGCATAATTAATGAGCAAATACTTAAAATCAGCTGTTTTCCATGATAGCTTGTGACATCTGTAGTTAAGAACAAGAGAAACACAGGTAGATATTTGTTTAAAGTTAAAACTCTTGATCCAACACAAAAATTCTCTCACCTAGAGCTTTCAACCAGTCACTCTGGTCTTCCTCAGTAGACTGACCCAGTGAAGCTTGTCACGTGGCTTCTTTGAAGTGTGACGTCAACACTGGGTCAAAGGTGTCTGGTAGACGATGTCGGCCCCCGTCGCGGTTCAATGTAGGGTGATGGGCCCTGATGTAAATGGCTTCCTTCACCCCTCTCAAGAAATAGTCTTGTTCAGTGTCTAAAATCCTTACAGTGTCAAGTGAGACATGGTGTCCGGGTGACTCTATGTGAATGTGTTGAGACACCTCTGAACTGGCAGAACTAGGCCGTGTATGTTCCTGAAACCTGGCTTTTAGAGACCTCTCCGTTTCACCAATATAAGTTTCCTGGCAGGGCCCCCTGTTGTTCTTGCCCTGGCAGGGGATGTGGTAGATGACACCACACTTCTTCTCTTTGGGGGTTTTATCCTTGGGCGCAACAAGAAT